ACAGAGATGTTTCCTGGAGAGAACTGGGAATTGCTACTGTATTTCATTAAACTACAGACTGATGATAAATGCTGCTGCTTATGTGCTACGGGTATCAACTAGGAATTTTTTTATTATTATTTTGTCCACATAAAAAATAATAAAAAATAATAATAAAAAAAACTAATTAAAAAAAACCCCTGATCCCTCTGCCCCTTCTGCTGGTTTTATGCAGTGGGTGTGTGTGGGGCTTGCATGACCTTGGAGCCACAGGGTCCCAAAGGGAATTTGGGGAAGGATGTCCATAGGTTTCTTGGATAGGAATGCATCAGGCAAAGCCTGGCTGCCCTATCTAATAAGAACATCAGGAAGGTCTGGGAAAACAGAAGAGATGAAAGAATCTCAGAGCCAGAAAGGTGCTGAAATAATGATTAAAATAGAAGAGAAGGAGTGGAGGAGGGGGATTAAGTCCTTAAAAGGTGAGTTTGGATATTTTTGATGGCTGTGAGAGTTGAGGCTATCTCATACCCTGAAGTTCTGGGGTTTTTTGATGGTGGGAAAGGTCTTGTGTGGCTGCTCCAAAAGCTGAACTAGAAGCAACTGCCCTGCCAAGTACTGACCAAACAGTTTGTATAACAAACTCATTATTTACGTAATCCTAAATACAAAATTTTAAGGGGGTTTGTAGCACTTGCAGACCCCTTCTGGAAAAGAGGCTGTGAGGGCTTTTTTTCCCTTTTCCCATGATCATATACCTCATTTAATCTACACTTTCATCTCCCAGGACAACTCAAACCCCATCTCCTGCACTCGCCCCAAACCTGAGCATCAAAATCCGTCTGATGCCAAACTAACACTTTTCCCACTGTTCCCAGTGTTCCCCAGATACTATGGATATTTGGTTCCCACATGCTTTTCACAGAATTTGGGCTAAACCTGTCAGCTTAGCCCAGCTAAACTGATCTGGGAAGAGCTATTTGCCCACAGATGCTGCCACATCCTGCTCCAGCATCCAGGAACGCTGAGAGCAGCTGCTCCATCCATTGGAGCTTCAGGATCCTCCTCTCCTTTGACTTGGAGTTTCTTCGGTATCTGGTTTTTTCATCCATCCCCCTAACAGGAAGAATCCTTTCTGCAAGGAGTTTTTAGGAGACTTTCTCATCATCTCTGCAGCCAGTTGGACCTGTTGACTGGAGCAAAAATCTGTGGACAATGAGCCAGCAGGGACTTGGTGTGAGCAGCTGCTGCTTCCGCTGAGGATTCACCTACACCCACAGCTGAGCTGGAGGCTTCAAGTGAGATCCAGCCTTTTAAAACTTCTTCTTTAGGGCCAAATATTCCAAAAATTTTGATCCAAGTTGGGCAACACCCCGATGTTCTTTGCGAGCACCAGCAGCTCCATCATCTCGTGATGAGGCAGTTTAGAAAGGAACAATGCTGTGGATGCTGCAAAAAAACCCAGAGCTGGAAAATGTCCTGCTCAGTGTACAGTCCTGGGGCGTCCCAGGGGTGGAGGAGCCAAAGGAAAGGGTCATGTTGCTGTCAGCTCCTCAGGTCTGAGCTGGAGGAGCACGTGTTGGACATATTCCAGCAAGAGCCGCCTTTCGGGTGCTCCTCAGTGCTCAACAGAACCAAATTGCAATGAAATTACTGGAGTATTTTATCTGCTTAGTTTCAGTTAATTTCAAAGCAATTGGGTACAGCCCATTGACTCTGCTGGGGTGGCTGCAAGCCTGAGAAATGCACTGACACTGAAGTGAAATAGCACCAAAAAACTGCTGTAAATCCTTGTAAACCTTTGCTGCCCTCAAACCCCTCAGTCCTGGGGGGGCAAAGGGCTGGGGAGGGAGGGGGCCTGGGTGAGTCTTTAATAAAGGAGGTGCAAAGCAGATCTGACTCACGTTTTTCTCCCTATACAGTATCAATATCTGGTTTTGCTGCCTTGGTGAAGAGGCCTCAAGGATCAGCACAAATCGAGGCTCTATGGCGTGAGCAGATGAAGCGGTTTTGCCAAAAATCCTCGCTGTCTGCATCCTAAAGGTGTCAAAAAGATTTGATGGCTAGTTAGATAAGGGCATCTCCACTGTGACTGGGGTCTTAGACAAGCAAAAGTCCAGCCCCTGCCCTCCAGGTGGGGTCTCCCTCGATATTTGGGGTATTTAATATGGTTTTCCTCTCTGGCTTGAGCACCTTTTGAAATAACTTCTGAATAAACCTACAAACCAACAAGTTTCCAGGAAGTTTATTTTAAACTCGATATACTCGAGGCTAAATTTAGTAGCAAATCAATTTGTCTTCCTCTCCTCCTTGAGCATTAAGAGCATCTCAGAGCATCTCCTCCTCCCGCTCTGCAGCCCAGGCTTTGATGGGGATTCGCTCCCCCGTTCCCTGGGAACACGTGAAGGTTAAGAGGTGCTCGAAGATCAGGCTGACATTTCCAGACGTGCCCAGGTACATGGAGCTGGAGTGCGGTGCCCACCGGGGTCTGTGCCAGCGCTGCCAGAGCGGCACCCAACGGCAAATCCCACAGTTATGGCTGGAGATGGAAGGAAAAGGGAAAAATCAACCCCCAGAAAACCCCGGAGGGTTGGAAGTAGGTCCATGAGGTGGGGACAGGGCCAGCCCCAAGCTCCTGGGTTTGTTTTTGTCCTCCTTGGCTTCCTGGCACTGGGCTTTCCCTGAGCTAATCCAGGAGCTGCTGCCCAGGCTTCCTCCAGCATTGCTTCCCATGGCAGCTGGAACTTTTAGTTATTAAATAATACATGGAATTTTATTTTATTTTATTTATTTTAAGGTAAATGGTGTGACACAAGGGGCTGCCAGTACCCTGCATGTGGCCTGGCAGGAGGGACAGGGTAGACCCTGTAGTCTGTGTGTGCACATGTGGATATGTGTGTATATATATACGCACAAATAAAAATATATAAATAAAATGAATGTAATATATACAAAATATAAAAATAGAAATATAAAATAAAATAATAAAATTTATGAATAGGTATCAAAGATGAATAAAATGTATAATAAACGTAAATATATGTAAATAGATAAATAAAATTTATATAATATAAGATTTATATAATATAAAAGTTATATAATAAATACTGAGATATTATATAATGCCATTGTATTTATATAGCTATATGTAATTTATTATATAATATTCGTATAATATAGTAACATGGTATTATATAATATAATACATAAAGTATTAACATTTTAAAACATTTTTAACGTATTATATATCAAATGTATATGTTGACTATGAAATAAAATATAAGCATAAATACATAAGAAGAAAACGTATATGATTAATATACATTATAAGACTATAAATCTCTCTAAACACTATGTCATACGGATGCTCCCCTCCCCTTCCCTTCCCCTCGCTCATCGCTCGGTCCCCGCGGTGCAACCTCCGGTACCGGAGCGGCTCCTGCACTCACCGCGCGGCGGAGCCACCGAGCCGAGCACGGGGCACCGGGACGGGCTGGAACTGAGCACTGGGATGGACTGGAATGGGCACCAGTATAGGCTGATACTGGGCACCGGGATGGGCTGGAACTGGGTACCAGTATGGGCTGATACTGGGCACCAGGACGGGCTGGAACTGGGCACTGGGATGGGCTGGAACTGGATACAGGGATGAGCTGGCACTGGGCACCAGTTTGAGTTGGCACTGGGCAGTAATATAGGGATGGCACTGGGCACCAGTACTACCTGATACTGGGCACCAGTTTGGGCTGGCAGTGGGCACCAATGTGGGCTGATACTGGGCACCAGAAAGGGCTGGCATTGAGCACCAATTTGGGCTGACACCCAGCAGTGGACACTGATACAGGGATGGGACTGGGCACCACTACGGGCTGATACTGGGCACCAGAATGGGCTGGCGGAGGACTGGCAATAGTCACCAGTTTGGTCTGGCACTGGGCACCAATACAGGCTAGCATGGGTCACCAGTAAGGGCTGGCATGGGCCATCAATTTGAGCTGGCACCAGTATGGGCACTGGGCACCAGTATGGGCTGGCACTGAACACCAGTACAGGCTGATACTGGGCACCAGTTTGGGCACCATTATAAGAGAACTGTCCATCATTAGGGGTTGGCACTGGGCACCAGTTTGGGCTGGCACTGGGCACCAATACAGGCTGATTATAGGCACCAGTTTAGGCACCAGTATGGGTAAGAACCACCCATCATTATGGGCTGGCACTGGGCAGTGGTGTGGGCTCATACTGGGCACCACTATGGGCAAGAACTGGGCACCAGTACAGGCTGGTACTGGGTACCAGCATGGGCAGGAGTATCGTCCAGTTCCCCAGGGTCACACTGCACTGGGACCTGCCCAGGGGACATTCCCGAGGGGATAACGGTGTGTGGGGACACCCGTCAATGCTGCTCCCCCAGCCCAGCCAGGGCCGCGGGGTGCAGCTAATTAGGGGCTAATTGTGTTAAGCCGGGGCTGCACTAATGCAATTGTGGGATTATCCTGCAGAGACAGCGACCCCCCATTGTTGCCAGGGTGATTTGGGGGGGTTCAGAGACATGCACCTGGGCCATGATCCAGCCAGACCCCCACCACCCCCAGGCCTACCCTAGTGCCCCCACCCATTGCCCACCCACCCTGCTGGGAATCCTGGCCTTTCCAGGGGCTTTAATTGCCCCATGGCTAACGAGGGGCTGGTGGGGCTGGGAGGGGGCGTGGGTTCTGCAGGTAAACAGCACCCCGGGGCTGGCGACCCCCCCACCCGGCACATCCCCGCTGATGGTGATTACCGAATTAACCGGCTCCATCTGAGCCTGTCTGCTGCCGGGATGTGGGTCAGGGATTACCCCCCTCTGTGCCCCCCAGCCCAGTCCCTGCTCTCCCTGTCCCCTGCACCCACGGCTGCACTGGGAGCACCCCGGTGCTGGGGGTGGGGGTCCTGCCATCTCGATCCTGGCAGGCAGAGGAAGGAGGTTCAGGCGGCCGTAATAAATACAAGAAAACTTTATTGAAAAAAAAAAAAAAAGAGGTGGGAAGGGGGCAACGGCCCCGGCTCAGGGAAATAAATAACAACCTGGGGAGCACCAGCTTACAAAATATGGCTCTGGGCAGTGGGGTCCTGCAGGGTCCCCAGTGAGGCTGGTGGGGGCTGCTGGGTGCCCCAGTGAGAGGCTTGGGGGGCCCAGCCCCCGGCACCCCCGGGCACCTGAGAAAGGGCTGCCCCAGGGGGCAGCTGGGGCTGCCAGAGCATCCCAGCCCCAGCAGGGACGTGGGAGCAGCCCCATCCCTGCCTATCCTGAGAGCCACCACTGCGCCACAGCAGTGTCCCCAAGCCGGGAGCACTGACTGCGGGCAGGGGCTCAGCACCACTTGGGGCACCCCTGGGTGGGTGCCCCACTCACATCCTGTCCCCCCTCAAGGGCTCAGGCCAGGATCTTCTGGGGGATCTCCACCGAGGCTTTGATGAAGATGGCATTATCCCGCACGTAGTTCCGTTTCCTGATGTCCTCGTGGGAGATGAACTTGGGGTAGCCGAAGCCCAGGGTGCTCTCGTCCAGGGAGCTGCGCGAGGCTCCCGGCTTCTGGAAGTTTTTCCAGTTGGGATCGGGATGGAAGGTCTCGGTGATGTGCTGGGGCTTGGAGAGCGAGGGGTCGCTCTGGTCCAGCAGGGAGAAGGTGACACGGTAGGAGAAGGGCCACTCCAGCAGGTTGTCGTACTCGCCCGGCAGCACACGGATGTAGACGGAGAGGTGGCTGCTCTCCCCGCTCCCGTTGCCGTTGAGGAAAGCCGAGACCTGGAGCTTGTAGCCGTACTTGTGGGTGTAGAAGGGGGGGCTGAAGAACTCGTAGTTGCTGCGGGCTTTGGCCTCCTGCAGCTTGCGGGCGTAGTCGGCGATCTTCCAGATGAGGGTCCCGTCGCTGCTCACCGACAGCTCCTCCATGTCGCGCCGCAGCTCCAGGATCTCCTGCCGCTGCCGGCTCACCAGGGCACACACCATGCCCAGGTGTGCCTTGGTGCTCTCCTCCAGGTGCCGACCCATGGCCAGCTTGGGGCACTGTGGGGACAGCGGGATTGTCAGCAGGGACATTGGGAGATGGCATGAGACAGGAGGGAAGGGTGCCATGGAGATGGGGGTGCTGGAGCAGGAATTTGTAGGGACACAGGGGTGGCTCAGGGACACTTGGTTGGGATGGCATGGGAACACTTGGGTGGCAAAGTGACACGAGGTGAGGCAGGACATGGATGGGACAGAAGAGAACCAGCTCAGGGGATGGGACAGATAGAGCAGCAGTGGTGTGGGGATGTTGTGGACCACAGGTACAATATGCTAGGGAACGACATCCCATGCTGAAGGATGCCAAGGCAGGTTGGTCACAGGGACACACTCACCCGGTGCTTGCAGCCAGCCTCCTTGAAGGGGCACAGCAGCATGGCAGTGTTGCAGCTCTCCTTGAGGTGGGTGGGCATGTCCTCCCGGGGGATGCTGGGTGTCCCACACTGGTTGGGGCACGGCACAGGGTACCGGGGACACTGGTACTGGTGGTTCTGGGGAGGCAGAGTGGCTGTCAGCCAGGGCTGGGAGCCAGTGGGGTGAGGGTCCCCATCGGCCCCATCTCACCTGGATGGTGTCAAAGACGAACTCCTTGGAGCAGTAGGTACAGGGCTGGGTGCGCTTGGGGCACTCGGCCAGGGTGTGCTGGGACAGCAGGCGCCGCATCATGCGGGCCCCACACTTGTTCTCACAGTACACGCTCTCCTGGGGACACGTGCCCTGGTGGCCCTGGGGACCGTGACAGCATCATCACCTTCTGTCTGCCCTCACCAGCCAGCCCTGCCAGGGATGGGGCCATGTGGTGCCCCCATGGCCAGGGGCACAGGGACCAGGAGCCCACATGTCCATGTCCCCACAAGGCTATTACACTCATGATGTGCCCCCCATCCAGGCTCTGTCCCCATGCCCAGGTTGTATCCTCCATGATTTCCCTCACAAGGCTGTGTCCCCCATGGCCAGGCTGTGCTTCCCACAGTGTTCCTGCCAGGCCAACCCTGTGGCTGCGTCTCCCATAGTGTCCCTCCCTGCATGGTGCCCCCCCATTGCCCACCTCAAAGGCCTCCCCAGTGAAGTCACTGGCGCAGAACTCGCACTTGACCCGGCGCTTGGGGCAGCCGTGCTGGACGTGCTCGGGCAGGTCACGGCGGCTCAGTTTGGCGCTGCACCGGTTGGGGCAGGGGATCACGTTGAAGCCACAGGTGCTGAGATGGGCCTGTGGGGCATAGGGATGGTGAAGGAGGGCCATGAGGCAGAACCTCGACCCTCACCCCATCCTGCCGGACCCTACCTGGAGGTGCTTGATGAGCCCGCTCCAGCGGCAGCCCTCCTCGCTGTGGATGCAGCGGATGGCCAGGCTCAGCACCTGCGCCTCCAGCTCCGGGTCGGGGTAGATCTGGGGGGGTAACACAGCGACTTGAGCTTCCTGCACCAGGCTGTGGGCACACAGACCCCCAGCACAGCCTGGCTGGGAGCCGTGGGCACTCAGCCTGGGGCCGGATCCCCCACTGGCACAGCAACAAGCACCCTTTGTCGGGAGCGGGTTTCCGCTCCCCGGCCCCGCAGCACAAAGGGCTCTTGCTTCCGCCTGAGTGCCTGTGCCAGCCCGGCGTGGCTGTGCCAGGCGCTGTGTAGAGCCTTGGGACGGCGCCTTGGCGGGGATGTCACCTTGGAGGGAGGTACCCATCCATGTGCCAGGCTCACCTTGGCGTAGTCCAGGGGCAGCTGGTCCTCTGGGCACTTGAAGACACCTTCGCTGCAAGACACAAAGGGGTCAGAATTACTCGGGGATGGGGAACAGCACCAGTGACACAGCCACGATGTCCCATCGGGTCCCTGCCATCCCATCCCAGGACATTGGTGCTGTCCCTCCACCGCTGAGCACTCACCCTGTACCAAATCCAGCCGCAACCCTGGGGGAGCTGCGGCTCTAATCCCGCTCCATCTGTCTGAGCTGGGAAATGCTATGGCCAGACACCCCCCCCAAGACAACCCCCCCCCCCCCGGCAGGGCACGGCAGCCCCTGTCCCCAGGGGCCTGGGCCAGCCGCCGAGAGCAGCATGGCACCATCTGGAGCCCCGGCAGCCCCTCGCCTGTCCCAGCCCCTGGGATTAAGGAGGGTGCCGGCGGCTGGCCAGGATGGGGCCGGCAGGGGATGGGGCTCCCGCAGCCCCAGGTGCTGGGGCCCAGGGGAGGTGGGGGAGGGCAACAGCTGGGCACCAGATGTGCAGCCCGGATGTGTGGCCCTGGGGCTCCCGCTCCACAGGAAACGGCCCCATCAGCCATCATGGTGAGCCAGGACAGGGACAGGCAGCCATCCCAGAGGGGTCCCCATCGTGCTGGGCCCCCAGCATGGGGTGCTCCTCCAGAAGGCTGTCCCTCAGCTGGGAAGGGCCCTGCTCAGCCCTGAGCTGCAGAGTGGCAGTGTGAGGTAGAGATGGGGATGGAGCTGAACAGGCAGCCCGGCCCGTGACACCGCTCACCAGGAGCCACCATCACCTCTGGTCCCCACAACACCATGCCTGGGAACAGGTGAGGGTGTCCACGTGCCATCCCTGATGGACACTGGGGTGGGAGACCACAAGTGCTGCCTACAGGGACACACAGCAGGGACACACAGGGACCCTCTGGCTCCTGTGTCCCTGGATGAGGTTGCTTTGCCTGCACAGCTCCTGCCCGTCTAATGACCGAGTGCCCTTGGCAGGCGTCGGCGTGGCCTCGACCAGGGCTGCCAAGCGGATGAGAGACCTCGGGACGGAGCCAGCTGTGCTGCCTGGCACACGCTGGCCTGGGATGGCCTGGGCATGGCACTGTCATGTCCCCTGCAGCCACCAGCCCTGTGCTGGGGGTGCAAGTGACCCCCAGGAGCCCCAGCTCAATGCCGTGGGATGTGATTCATGCAGGGCACGGCTGCATTCAGCCACGCCAGGTTTCTGCTCTGTTTACTGCAGGTGGTTCTGTGGGAGTCATCAGGCATCCACCGAGATAAGGTGCCCTAGGACAGGGTCGGGCACCCAGCCCTTTCCAGGGAGCCCGTGGGTGGCATTGCTTTGGAGCTGGCATCACACCTTTCCAGGGCAGTCAGCCGTGTCTGCACCCTGTGCATGGTGTTGGGGTGCTGGGGCTGGGGGGGAAGCGGGACAATGACCCGAAGTCAGCGCCTAATCCCCGACAAAGCCTCCCCATTCCTCATGCTTGGCCGGGCAGGGAATGTGCTGAGGCAGCACCCAGGAGGACCGTCCTTGCCTCTGACCTTCACGGCGTGTTGGGGCACAGCGAGGTGACAGGGTGGGGAACCCCGGCCCCCCCCAGCACCCCCCTCCCGGCACCGCGGTGGGGCTGGACGGCTCAGCCCAAGAGATGCCCAAACCTGATCTGGTGAAAACGGGGGGTGCTCGGTGGGGGGCCCTGTGTCTGGCTGTCCCGGTAGAACGGAGGTGCCGGCGGAAGGGGTGCGGAGGGGGGCAGGGAGCAGATGCGTTCTGACACGTGCCCCGGGGAACGCCCGGTTTCGTAGAAACTGGCCACGGTGTCTGTGGCTCCCGGGGACCGTCCCGGGCGAAGGTCGCCCCGGCGGGGAAAGGCGCAGCCGGAGGCGGCAGCGGAAACCGGGGCCCAGAGTGACGCTGGTTATCGCCCCGGGGGAGCACGAGCATCCCCTCGCCGAGCCCTGGGGGGACCCCCGGCACCGCAGCGAGTGCGGCGGCCCCGAACCGGGGCAGCACCGGCCTCGCACGTGCCCCCGGGCTGCCGGTACCGGGGGTCCCAAACCGCGCGGGTGGGAAGAGGCCCCGGCTCCTCGCTCCCAGTGAGCGCACACGGCCGGGTCGGGCTCCCTCCTGGGCGCGGGGGCACCGGGGTGGCCGGACCCCTCAATACACACACACACACACACACACCGGTCGCTTCCTCCGACGGGGCCGGGGCAGGAAGGGGTTAAGCTCGAATCTCGAAACTCGTCGCTCCGGGCTTTACCGGGCCCTCTTCCTCCTCCTCCTCCTCACCGAAAGGGGCCACGGGCCGCTGCACCCCGCAGGCGGCTGTCACAGCCTGGGCGCGCCCCGCACCCCCTCCCTGGCCCGGGGCACCACCACGCAACCCGCACCTTTCCCCGGCCCGGGGCATCTTGGGGCGCCCCGCACCTTTCTCGGGGCACCACGCATCCCCGACAACCCCGCACCTTTTTCCAGGGCACGCCGCAGCCGTTCCCTGGCCCGGGACACCCCTCCCCGGGGCACCAGCATCCCCTCCCGGGCCCGGGACATCCGCACCCCCGTGCTCCCCTCACTCCGGCCCCGCCCGGGGCCCCCTGCACCCCTCTTTGGAGCACCCCGCACCCGCGGGCACCGCACCCCCGAGGCCGGCGGCGAATGAAGGGGGGGGAAGCACCCGTCCCCCCCCCGGGGTGCGGGACCCCGCATCCGGCGGTGCGGGGACGGGCGGCCGGGGTGCCCCCACGGTGGGAAGGGGTGCGCGGCGCGACGTCAGGTCGGGTCGTCCATGACGTGCTGCGGGGTCTCACCTGAGGAACTCCTGCAGGCAGGTGTCGCAGAAGCGGTGGCCGCAGGTGGAGACGCGGACGGGCTCCCGCATGGGCTTCCCGCAGAGCGGGCACAGCACCCGCCGCCGCGGCCGCTCCAGCAGCTTGTAGTCGTAGCCCGGCATCCCGCCGCCCCGCGCCCGCCGCCGCCCCGCGCCCGCTCGGCTCCGCGCTCCGCGCCCGGCTCCGCCCGGGGGCCGGACGGGGCCGGACGGGGCGGTGGGATCGGCCTGAGCCCGCCCCTGCGCCCCGGGCCGGGGGACGGCACCGCCACCGCCTCCCGCCCGCGCCCCGCCTCCCCGCCGCAACGGGGGGGGATGGAGCGGTCCTGGCACCCCCGGGGGCTCGGGGAGCATCACACCGGGGACAGACAAGGACTGGGGGAGCGTCACATCGAGGGCAGCCCCTCCAAGGGGCTTGGGGACCGTCACGCTGGGGACAGCCACCCTGGGGGCTTGGGGAGCACCCCACCGGGCACAGCCCCCCCAGGTGGTTTGGTACCCATCACGCTGGGAACAGTCATCTCAAGGGCCTGCGACCCACTGCTCTGGGGACAGCCACCCCAGGAGGTTGGGGAGCATCAACATCACATCGCACACGGCCACCCTGGGGGCTTGTGCACAACCTGCAGAGCCCCCCCCCAACACTGTAGCCTCCCCTGGCCCAGAGCTGGGCTCCTGGAGCACACACTGTGCTGTCCTCACTAGCCCTGTGTCTCTTTCTTTACTCGGGGGTGCCCCAGGGGTTTCACATTCCTGCAGGCAGCCCGGGGCCACAGTTAGGCCCCTGAGCAAGGCTGGAGGTGAGACACAGCTCCCAAACACACTCCTGCCACAGAGAGCTACTTGTGTCCAGCCATCACCCACAGCAGGATATGGAGGGGCTGCCCTGAGCCCCCCACTCTACAGGCACGGGGGGGGGGGGACACAAGCTCCTGTGGCTTTGTCTTGCTGGGAGCTCATGCCCCAGGCTGCAGCCATCAGCAACCCTCCAGCCACAGTTTGTAACGGAGCAAGAGCCTGGAGGAGGGAGAATAAAAGCAAATCTGTCTAGCTCTAGCCCCCTCATCACTCTTTCAGAAATCAGAGCAGCATATGGGAGTATTTGCCCCTTTCCCCAGAGATGGAGCTGAGCAGATGACAGGCTGTGAGCATGTGTTAGTCCCACCAACGCTCACTCCAGCCAGCTTCCCATTAAGGGCAGCAGTTGCTCCAGACCCAAATGTTAGCAGTTTTCAATTAGCAAATGGCAGAGGAGAGGGATTCCTGGGGGACACGCTGAGCAACTCGAGCTCTATCACTTGTCACTCAAGGAGCTCACGTTACCCTTCTCCCTGAGAGGCTCTGCTTAAAATAAAACCCTCCAGCAGCCTGAGGGGAAGCAGGCAGCCCGCCTGCTTGCTGCCAGAGCTGCCAAGGAGGGGATGGGGGGCTGATTTCTGTGGTTACCCTGAGGGATGGCAGGTTGTCCTGCCACAGCCTGAGCTGCAACGGGGTTTTAGCTCCCAAATATCAGGGAAGCTTGTGCTGGTGTACACTGAGCATGAACAGTCATGGCAGGGGATTTTCTGAGGGAGGTGAGTAGCTGGCAGCCTGCTTGGATGGTGGAGAGCACTGAGCTAAACTTTAACCAGCTCCCAGCGAGCCTGGAAACCCAACATGTAAAAACAAGTGACGGTGGGCAACTGTACAGGGAGCAGTGGGGTGCAGCAGGTACCTCGAGCTGGGGTTGAGGTGCTCCCCAGCCAGGTTTGCTCAAGGTTGTGACCCCCCAGGGGCAGGATCTACCAGCAGCCACATGGTCCAGCTGGTTCTGCCACTATGTGCCAGCATGCCCTGGAGCCAGGCTGCCTCCAACAAGAGATAGGCACTATCCCAGACACTGTCCCTGACGTACTGTGACCTGGCCCTGACTAAAAACTGTCCCTGGACACAGTTATGAGACAAGGTTCAGGCCAAAAGGACAAGGCCCTTGGCATCCCGGGGGGTGATGAGACTCCTGGTGTTTCCACCACCAAAGACAGGACACATCAGTCCTGTAAGCTTAGACAGCCTCTGCCTCCAATGACAGGCATGAAACAGCCGACTTTTATCATTATTTACTGCTTCTCTTTGATGTTTTTAAAATTATTCTTCCCTAACCTCACTGAAGAGCATCTCTGCTAATTAGCCAGGAGCTGACAAAGCCATCAGAAGGTGCTGGCTGTGCCGGCAGGGCGGCTGGGAGGTGTCAGACCCTGCAAACAAAGATCCCTCCTTTTCCCCTCTCCCTAAGGAAAGCCCTCCCCGCACTCAGCATCACAGCCAGGCATTTGTCTCACACAAAGGCGACACTCGGGGCAATTCCCTTTGTGGAGGCGATATGTTCCCTGTCCCCTATGATGGGTCACTCCTTGAACCCATCTGGGCTTGGAGAGGCCTCTTGTCCTCTTCCCCAGCCTCTCCCTGGCCTGCACTCCTGCTCCATCCCTCCTCCTTGTATTTAACTTAAACTGGAGGGACAGAAAACTGACGCTCTGGCTTCTAAAGAAGTTAAGGTGGAGCGTTTCACCCCAGGGAAAGGAGTGGGGAGAGTCCTCTCCCTGCTTCTGGGGCCTCGTGCCCAGGGAGGGCGGGGGGTAAGGGAGCAAGGCGGCTGGACAGACGGATGGCAGCCGCACCTTCTGCCAATTCTGCCAAGCCTCGTGGGAATGAGGATACGACCTCAACAGAGGTGCTGGAATCAAAACAAATCAGCTCCGGGATCAGCAGGCGGTTTGGGCTGTTTCCTGCTGACAGCAACAGCCCCAGGTCAGCAGGATCTTACTGGGAACGGGGACAGCTTTTCCCTGGGTGACAATGGCCAGAGGGGACCCGCACCAGGATGCACAAAAGGGGATAGGCAGCCTCATCCCACACCACCTCCCCTTCTTGCTCCCCTCTGGCTCTGCCTTCCTTAGCAGGAAGAGCCACAGGGACATGGCTGATCCAGCACCAGCTCCACAGAACACAGGAACAAAACAAGGATAAAGGGAGAAGCCCTGAGACCTGCAGATTTCACCAGGAGCTTCTGCAGGGAAACAAAGCAGCAGACGTGAGGAATGCAACTGGCCTATTTGCCCAGGCTGCTCTCTGCCTCCGGCAGTGCGGACATGCCTCGGCTTGTCGTTTCAGGAGCTTTTGTTGCTCGGGGCTGGGGGCCTCTTTGTTTCCTTTACCCTTTCGCCAGGCTTGGTCACAGCCCGGTATTAAATTATTCAAATCATCTCGCTGGGCTTCACAGCTGAACTCCTGCAAGGAGCACAGGCTGTGAAATCCCGAGGGCTCCGGCCCTCGCTGTGAGCCCCCCACCCGGCACAAAGCACACTGGTCCACACTGGTTTCCCTGCCCGGAGTAAAAGGTCCTGATATTTGAGCTGGTGACACCTCCAGTCCCAGCACTGCAATGCAAAGGTGTCATTAAGCCATAAAACAAACCACCTAACACTATCACATTGATGGGAACAGGGGGGCTGCACCCCTGGATTTGGCAGCCCAGATGGAGCAGGAAGAGCCTGGCTCCTGAAACAGGGACATTTTGGTGGCATCACTGACAAGACAAAGGGTATCATGCCTCTGTCCTGCCTGCTGCTGTCCCAGCAAGCCCTCAGCCCTGCCGAGGCTGTAGCAGGAGCACCAGCCCCTTCCTATGGGATGTATTTGGATGTGGTGTGGGGCGAGGGGAGCTGTGAGAGCCCAGCTAAACACAGCCAAGAGAAATCTGTTGCTGTAGGAGCTGGTGCTGCTGCCAGCTCAACACAGGGAGGAGAGGCAGTGGCCCAGAGGGGCTTTGAGGCAATTTA